ATATGTTTATTACTGTGGTTTCGCGTCACAGAACCTGTCTGTCCTCTGTGGACTCTTGTTAGAATCAGAGCTGTGTCACTGCTCCCATTTCCACTGTCCTATTATGACCCTTGCTGTCTCAGAGTACTTGGAAATTAGGGTCTTGTGTGCTTTCCCGGGCCTTTCTCACTGGTCACTAAGCTAACATGGTGGGCCCTGGGGGGCGAGGCTGTTTCCGCAGTCACCTGAGGTAGCGTCTCCCCTCACAGTGGCCAAGGCTGATGCTGAGGGGGCTCCTGGGCTCCTGGTCACAGGGCACTGGTCCCTCTGCTTTGTGGCTTCATAAACACTGGTGGCCTGGGCCCATATGGAGCCAGTGCCTGCATTTGCTACCTGAAGAGGAGCTGGGTGACTGAGGAGGCAGCACAGGTCCACAGCCGTCTGCCTGAGGTCCCCGGTTGTGTGCCTGGTCGGGGAGACTGCCTCCTGTTCTGGGCTGTAGCCCTGGGATTGTGGATGTTTGCGGAGCAAGACATGGATGGAACTTGTGGAGGCAGGAGGGGTGACATCACCTGCACGTGGACATGGACTGACACCCACCTGTGCACTGTCGGGAGCGCCTCATGGAACAGGAGCATCTTCTCTTTTGAGCACTCTTTTTTTTTTTTGTCCCTTTAAATTTTCTGGATGAAAACCTTAGACCTGTTTAAACAGAGAATTCTGAGGTAGGATTTAACTTTACTTAAAAAAAAAACTTAGATTTACTCAAAAAAGTGGAAAAACAGTACACAAAGTTCCCACATACCTTCCCCATATCCTTCCAGAAATGTGAGCCTCTTGCATCAGCTCGGTGCTTAGAGAAAGCAGGAAGTTGACGGGGGTACAAGACCGTTGGCTTACAGGGTCCCATCTGGGCCCATTAATGTAGCTGCCACCTCTCCTCTGGTCCACACACTTCTTTGTCTCTGACCAGACATGTCTGTAGAGTGCAGGCTGGTGTTTGTAGAGTGGCTTTAATTTGGGTTTGGCCACCGTGCTCTGGTGATGTGGGAAAGACCTCAGACAACTCAGTACGAAGTCTTCGTTTGGTCAGATCCAACTTTACTGCTTAGAATCCTGTTCTTTCAGGATTTACATTTTACCCCAGATGTGGTGTTCTGCGCGCCTGATGATGTCTGGAAGGCTGAGGTTCGGGGTGGACAGACTTGTTGGGAGGGCGGACCTCTCGCGGCAGGTCTGCTAGCCGGGCCAAGGTCTGCACCACCCAGCCGCCGTGGCCTTGGGGGCGGTGAGGGGTGAGAAGCCCCCAGCCCGGGCTCCAGGCCTCTGGCGGCTTCCCCGTTCTCCGACACCCTGGTGAGCATGTCCTTGCCTCCCGAAAGGGCATGTGTCAGCGATGCAGATTCTCTGCATGCTATGGGGGCTTCCGGCCCCAAGGTGGGGTGGGCAGAAAAGCGTTAAGGTCCTCCAGCACCTCTCTGCCTGTGGGGGGTGCTTCTGGTGAGCGGCTGGAAAGGCAGGGTAGGCAGGCTGCCCCTGGCTCCTTTACTGGTGAAAACTCAAGGCTCCGAGGCGGGAGTGGCCAGACTGGTCACAGTGACAGTAGCTGCTGGGAATGGTTGTGATTTGCTTTTGGGATTTTTTTGTTTGTTTGTTCGTTCGTGTTTGGACCAAATGTCTTCTGGGAAAGTGTTAGAGAATTGATGCTAATAGTGATTTTTAAATAAGAAACCACGTGGCCAGCCCATCCCCATGAGACAGCGTCCAGTTTTAGTCCTGATCTTCCCACTTCTCTTTGCGGTGCTCAGAAGGAGGCCTCGCAGGTTAGGTGCGGGTCTTGCCTTCTTTGTTCTGATGGCTTTAAGCCCTGCCCTCCATGCGGCTCCTCATGGGGAGAGGCCAGCTCGGCTCCTGGCTGGGATGCTGGCCAGTCACTGTGCCACGAGGACCTCCCTCCCCTCGGTGCCCAGTTTGTCAGCAGGGTCAGCCCGGGTGGGCTGGTTTCTTTGACTCCAGTTTGGCTTTTGGGGGTGCAGAGACCATTCCAATCTCGAGGGATGAGCATTTCTGGGGCGGAAGGCGGCCTCTGTGCCTTGGCGGCTGCTGGAGCTGGGAGGACCAGGTTAGGGGTGCATGCAGCGGGTGAGAAGTGGCTGCTGGCTGAATGAGTACGCACTTCGGGCAGTTACTTTCTGAAGTGGCTTTAGCGGTTGACTTTAAGGAAGAGGCCTCTTGGCAGAAGGAAAAGATTGAGGGGGTTGTACAATTTCCTCCCATTAATAACCCTGTGCTCATGGGTTACTGTCTGTTAGGAACGCATGCTTGCTGGGGCCCATTGAGGGTGTCATTGGTTGCGGTCCTCCACCCACTTTAAGAGGTTCTTTCCTGGTCATCTGACTGCCACCTAGGAAAGGGACACATTGGGCCTCAGCCCTTCTGTTTGGGAGGCTGGGAGTGGGGCCTCCTGTGCAGGGGACCTGGGCCGGGGCTGTTCTCTGGTCTAGACACAGAAGTGGGACTGGGACGCAGTGGGCACCTTAGGGTCTGGCTGCCACCCGCCCCTACCATGTCCTGTTAACCTCCCAGATGCCGGAGAGCTGGGTTTGTTGCAGGCAGAACGGCCAGTGCTGGCTGGCCCTGCTCCTCCTCTTGGGGAACCAGGGGAACAGAGCCAGCATCTCTGATGTGGGTTCTGATCCCTGGGCCACCAGCTCCCACATGAGCCCGGACACGGGTGCGCCTCTCTGATCTGCACTTTCTCACGCAGGGAATCAGTCAGGGTTCTTTCCTGCGCTGACATCCATTTGGTTGGCCCAGTCCCCTGCAGGAGCATCCTTCGGGAGGGGGGATAACGCTGTCAGTAGGAGGTAGTCCAGTGAACCTTTGCGGAAACGTTAAGGGGCTTTGCCGGAACCCTGAGTCTGACCCTCTGGCTTTGGAAATGACCTCTGACCTTTGTTGTTGTAGGAAGACATGGCTGCCCACGTTGGCGCTTCCCGGACTCCCCAGGAAGTGATGGAGCATTATGTAAGCATGTACATCCACGGAAACCTGGGGAAAGCCTGCATCCCCGACACCATCCCCAATCGGGTGACAGACCACACCTGCCCCAGTGGAGGCCCCCTCTCTCCCAGCCTCACCACCCCCTTGCCTCCCCTAGACATCTCGGTGGCCGAGCAGCAGCAGCTGGGCTACATGCCGCTGCGGGACGACTACGAGATCGAGTATGACCAGGACGCCGAGACGCTCATCAGCGGGCTCTCGGTCAACTACGACGACGACGACGTGGAGATCGAGCTGAAGCGCGCGCACGTGGACATGTACGTGCGGAAGCTCAAGGAGCGGCAGCGGCGCAAGAACATCGCGCGCGACTACAACCTGGTGCCGGCCTTCCTGGGCAAGGACAAGAAGGAGAAGGAGAAGGCGGCCAAGCGCAAGGTCACCAAGGAGGAGAAGGAGCTGCGGCTGAAGCTGCGGCCGCTCTACCAGTTCATGTCCTGCAAGGAGTTCGATGACCTGTTCGAGAACATGCACAAGGAGAAGATGCTGCGCGCCAAGATCCGGGAGCTGCAGCGGTACCGGCGCAACGGCATCACCAAGATGGAGGAGTCGGCCGAGTACGAGGCGGCTCGGCACAAGCGCGAGAAGCGGAAGGAGAACAAAAACGCGGCGGCCTCCAAGAGGGGCAAGGAGGACGGCAAGGACAGCGAGTTCGCCGCCATCGAGCACCTGCCCGGCTTCGAGCTCTTGTCGGACCGCGAGAAGGTGCTCTGTAGCTCCCTGAACCTGAGCCCCGCGCGCTACGTGACCGTGAAGACCATCATCATTAAGGACCACCTCCAGAAACGGCAAGGGATTCCCTCCAAGAGCCGCCTTCCCAGTTACTTGGACAAAGTCCTCAAGAAAAGGATTTTAAACTTCCTCACGGAAAGTGGTTGGATATCCAGGGATGCTTCCTGAGGCCAGGGCGCTGTGAAAGCCGGAATGATGCTAAGAAGCTTGTGAGCCAAAATGATTGGGGCGAGGGAGGGGGGAGGAAACGCTTTTTCCCCATTGTTGCTCTTTTTTAAACAAATTGAGTTCCTTTTTTTAGGATACAAATTCTTTTTACGGTCCTCTGAAGAAGCAATAGTAACAGTCTTATATCGGATCATGGGGGAGGCAGATATATGTATATTTTAACTTAGTCCTAAAAGTAATCCTTTAAGATGACGACTTGCCTTCATGTGTTCAGTTTGGAGAATAGTGTGAGAGTAATTTCCTTTTATTTGTTTCTTCCCTTTGGTACACGACTGTCGTTCTGTAGGTAAAGGAGCACCATTCCCCGCCTGGCCTCCAGCTTCTCCCCGCCCACGGCGGCCCAGACCCCCAGCACAGCCCGGCACGTGGCACTTTAGAGGGGGCCAGACAGGCAGGTGGGACCGTGGGGCTGTGGGACAGGATGGGACGTCAGTAGGGACTTTAAAGGAGGAATCTGGTGTCAAACACAGTGGCCACATGAGCTTCCCCTTAACCCCCAGGTAGTGGCAGTTTGAGCTCAGGGTGGGAGAGGCGGAGCTGTGGTGGGAGGAACGGCAGACCCCCTGGGTCTCAGGGGTGCTTTGGGGGGAGCCTAAGCGGGGGCGGAGGGGACTGGGACCAGCTCCAGCTGCCAGAACAACACTGAGCAGCCTCCCCTGGGGCTGCTGCTTGCTGCTCTTAGAACCTGCAGTGCATTTTACTTGGAAAAACTCGTTTTAGAAGTCAGGCTGAGAGCTCTGGGTTCTGGTGTTAGCTCCCTCCAGGGTTTTCAGCTCCCTTGCAAGTACCTCTTTCACCGAGACTCTGGCCATGTGTCTTCCTGGGGGTGGCATCAGGCACTCAGCCAAGTCAGGGTGGGAGGGAGCATTGAGGCTGCTGCCTCCAACCAGACTCAGAGCGGCTGCCACCCAGCCGGGTTTAGAAACACGTTCAGGGGTGGTCTTTCACGGACGTACATGGTACCTTCCTTCCAGAACTTTGAGAAAGGCATGACTTCCGGCTGCTCGGGGCTCTGGTGTCCAAGACCCTGCTTAAGAGTGGGCGGAGTGGCCGTGGCCCCGGGGCTCCACCCCTCCCGAGCTTGTCCTGCCCCCATAGCCCCCAAGACTGTTTACCTCCTAGAATGTTTGGGTTTGAAGTTACATTAAAGTGAAGTTATTTGAAAGAAAAAAAAAAACCTCATCATTTCCAAGGATGACTTAATTACGGTGCCTTTTCCTTTCTTTTTGCATCCTTCTGCCCCTAGGGTAGATTTTCCAGCATTAAATAAAATATTTCAAATATACTGTATGTGGCTTTAGTTGCAAATACACTGCATGTGGGCAGAGAAGCACTCCCTGTGCCCAGGACTTCTCTTTGACCATAGGAAATAGCCAGCACTAGTGTCATTCCTGAAGGCCACTCCCACACCGTCCCTTGCAGGGTAACTGTGGCCAACAGAGCCGGTACTGTCTATTCAAGCTGTGATGGGGACAGTGCTAAGTTTTTACAGGGCTTTTGGCCAGTGGTCCTCATCTAGGGCTCCTGGGAACCTGCTAGAAGCGCACTCAGGCCCTGCCCAGTCCCCCTGAATCAGAAACCCTGTGGTTGGGGTCCATGGAGCTGTTTTTGCAAGCCTTCCAGGGGACTGGGATGCAGGCGAGAGTTCAAGAACCACTGGCTTTAGCTACTCTGGTATCTTCGATTTTCTACATCAGATTCCTAGTTTGGTGAGGTTTTAAATTTAGTCTTATTTTTATATAAAATGATTGCCAGCCTTTCATTAAGCTTGAGAAGCAAAAGATCCCTGGAAATATGTGTGGCCCCGGCCAAGACCTGTCGAATGAAAAACTTTGTGCTTAAGCAGGTTTTCTGTATGTGTATCTTGATGGTATGAAGAATTTATTTAGGCTTGACTGTTTTTAAACATCATAATGAATGTATAATTAATTTATGTTAAAGTTTTAACACTTTGTTATAGGGGAAAAGTCATCTTATGACTGGCTGCCTCTTACCCCACCAAGCCCAGCTATTACTGTCAACACCAGTCCTTACCCTGCTGTTTGCTCGGAGCCTTTACATTTATGTATTTAATTCTCAGGATAAATTCGTCACCGGAATCCAATGGAATTAGGTCTTTTCAAAATTTAAACAATTTGAGTCAAGAAAGATAATTCAGCTATTCCAGAATAATGCTCTGGACGGCCAACACTCCGAGAATGTGATAAAACTGAAACCCCGCCTACTACTCTCTCTCCCTTTTACACATTAAACAGGTTGAGAACCAGTGTCACTGCTTGCTTTTTACCACCTGCCCCTCGAGCCTCAGCTTTTCAGAGCCTTGGAGATGGTGTGAACCGGCTTTCAAACACAGAATGGGGGACAGTCCGTGACATGTTTTAGTGTGGTGCTTCTGTATCACACCAGTTTTTTCTCCAAACTGTGAGTTAAAATTGACTTCTGTTAAGCAGAAAACCCTTCCTGCCACCCCTCCTTTCCTGAAAGTAGCGGAACACCTGGAGAAGGGTGACTTCCACGAGCCAGGCTGCACGGTCTGCGGTGAGTGGACGAGTGCTGGCTCCGTCGTGGGCCCTGTGCGGCAGATCCAGACTGCAACTACGCGAAACCCTGGAATTCACGAGAAAGCAGCCCTCACCGGTCTTTAATCGCCAGTGTTGGTATGAACAGCACTATCTTCCTGTTCCTGGTGGCAATGGATGGGGACACGGTTCCCCAAATGTAAGCTAGACTCTCTAGGTTTAGCCTCTTAGCAGGTGCCGCTCTAGCTGAAGACGGAGGGGAGGGGACTGCACACATTCACATAAGTTAGTTTGAAAATTCTAATTCACCCTTCATCTTACAAGTGAGTCTAGGGAGGTGAAATGATGGCCTCACAGTTACACAGTACAAAAAGCAGGCTGTGACTCCCCGTCCTGTTTCTCAGGATGCCATAGGCTGCTTTTAATTCTGGGCTATACTTTTGACAAAATAATTTAAAGCAGCTTAAAGGAAAAGAGGGAAATCTTTTGAAATCGTATAAATGTAACTGGGAATGTTACCTACATCTTCCAAACTGACGGCCCTGCCTTTTTAAATGCAGTAACTAGATTTAACGGCACTTGACCTTCAATCCTAGAAGTACCTTGCAGAAGCAGAGACAGTGGGAAGTTCCTTTTTCTCTTGTTGATAACAGCCATCTCAGTCATTCAACTTCTTCCCTAACGTAAAGGAGGAACGGAGTGCCCTGTGTGTTCTGGCTCCTGCTGTCTCCATGGTTGCAGGCGGACACGCGCAGGCCCAGGCCCTCGCCTGCCAGGGACGGCCCTGGGGAAGCTGCTCTCCCTTCAGGTACAGAAGCCGGCGTGGTCACGTGTTGGGTACACAGCCTCAGGACTTGAGCAGTAAGTCACACTTATCCTTGTAAGGATCTCCGCCACCAAAGCACACAAAATAGTTATCAGAATGTAGGAAAATACACGTATCAGGGCTTTAATCCTCTTAAATAAAATTAAACATTAACATTTAAAATATACCAAGCATGCAGCCCTTGGATTCCTTAAAAAGTCCATCTTACTAGGGAAAAATATCTTCAGGTCATTAGCAACTAGCTGGCTACAGATTTAAACATTTCTATAAAAAGATGAACAAAACAGGCTAAAAGTAACCAATTTTGTCAGACTCAAGTTACTGGCAAAATCAGATGGCGAGGACTGTTAACAGTGCACCCGCTCACTTCTCAGCTCCAAAAGCCAGAAGGCGATCACTTTTAGCGGTGAGACGGTAGCTGATGATAAATGAATTCAAACATGTTCTTCACCAAGGGCATCATAAAATTTTTCTTGGCAAAAAAAAAGTTAAACCTTTGCCCTTCCTTCACTGAAGCAAGGCAGCGGACGCGTGCTCCGGGAGACACAGAGGACGCGGGGTGGTGGCGAC